AACACGCGCCAGATCTTTGATCTTTTAGGTCTTCTTTAACAAACACCGCTCACTGTCCGTTTCCCAGGCGAGATGAAGACTCCTACCAGAAGTTCATTCCTTTTATTGGGGTGAGAATTCTACTCTTGAGTGGGAACTTTTTACCTTTGCTGCTGCTCATCTTCAGGATCTTTGGCTGACATCCCTTCTTGTTTTCCAGGTGGTGAAGGTTGGTCTGATAGAGTCTGGTCAGTCTCCAACAGGTGAGTGTTTGGAAAACGTCAAACGATGTTAAAAAAGAATTCGATTTAGGGTTTCACGCTATTTCCATTTGGGTTATGAAGGAGATGCAGAGGAGGGTGTAGCAGTGAGCCTCGCTGTCCCCTCCACATCACCACCCTCCCACGGCTCTCCCACCGGGATGATCAAAGAGACAGCCACGCCTCCCTCCTCTCCCTCCATGGGGAGCGTGCTCACAGTTCAAGGGTAAGAGTTCTCTAACATTCATATTTCTTTACAGGATCTTGTAATTATACTAATGTGCTTTAAATCAAGTCCTCAGATGTAGATATTTAAAGAACAGTTTATTTTATTCAGGTTGATTTTCTGCATTTGTGTATGTTTTTCTGTTGATGTCTCAGCTGTCAGCATGCATGTTGATGATGCTGTCAGTACTGAGCTGTGGCAGAGGGATAAATGCCTTTTAATCAGCCGTCTGCTTGTTCTTTAAGCAAACAGGCAGAGAGTTGTTCGTGTTTCTCTGAGATCCTCTTCCAAATCGAGGCTCTCTTTGATGCTTCAGCCACTGAATCAGATGTTTTTTTGCTGCAGTGCCTCTCTGCAGAGATCACTGATCTGATCTTTTACATTTCGCCCTCTGCAGAAATTTTTTGGGGAGTGTGTTGAACATGATGAATGAAATTCAGCTCTCAGATTCAAGTCGATCTGCTCGTGAAGCTGTTAAATTATCTTACAAATGTGTTTGTGATGTAAAGAAAAGTTAGATGTATGTATGTCTCATAATTGGACCAGAGCAGAACCCCTCACTGCATCTGTGTATTCTGCTGAAACTAAAAACTACAAATAATGTCAGATAAATATGTTAATAATTAAGTTCTTCACAAGTTTGATATGAGAGACCAGAGAATAATAGGAAAGTTCAGTTACGATGCTTTATAGTTGTCACGAAGGGGCTGAGGAAGTCGCTCATGCACGCGCTGTCTGTCCACAGGAGCCCCAGCATGTCCCACGGCGTGGACGCCATCGGCCTGCAGGTGGATTACTGGCTGGCCTCTCTGGCAGAGAAGCGGCGGGAGGGAGAGCGACGCGACACGGGCTGCAAGAACACGCTGAAGAGCGCCTTCCGCTCGCTGCAGGTCAGCAGGCTACCAGGCGGGGGCAGCAGCGATCCACAGGCCCAGGTCAGCACCATGGCCATGACTGTGGTCACCAAGGAGAAGAACAAAAAAGGTGAGGCGTTTCAAATCTGATGCTTTAAATCATTTTTATGATTATGGCTTCACTTGAAACTAAAATTTGTAATATTAATAACGATTGATTAATTTCACTGATTTCTTTCTTACAATGATCCCTGTATTGCATTCAGCACAGACTGAGGCCATATTACATTGTTATCACTAAATAAGTGTTTTTGACTTGCAGGCTTGTTGCAGTTAGCCAGGTTCCCTGCAGACAGGCCCTAAAATAGTTACTGCAAAGCCCTTTGGACAAGTCTTTAAAAGAAATCCCTCAGATCCATGTTCAGAGCGCATACTCTGAGAAGCAGGGTATATATATGTGTCCTCTGTAGTGGGATACTACAGATTTAAATGCAATTGAAGTAAGCCAGTCTAAATCTAGACTCACACACTGCCACCCAGTCGTCGTCTCCCTCCATCACACAGCACTTTGACTCTGGTGTTTGTTCCTCCCTTCAGTTCCTACCATCTTCTTGGGGAAGAAGCCCAAAGAGAAGGACGTAGACTCCAAGAGCCAGGTCATCGAAGGCATCAGTCGACTCATCTGCTCGGCCAAGCAGCAGCAGACCATCCTGAAAGGTGAGCTGGATGATCGCGAGCAGCTTTGTTTCTTTCCTGCTCACATTGTAGCTTATCCTCACCGTCGTTTCCATCTCCCACCAGTGTCCATAGACGGCGTCGAGTGGAACGACGTCAAGTTCTTCCAGCTGGCCGCCCAGTGGCCCACTCACGTCAAATACCTACCTGTCGGACTTTTCGGCTACAGCAAGCCTCCCTCGTAGGGCCGAGCGCCTCGACTCCTCTAACCGGACCTGACCTTTCGACTGCCCTCCACACAAACCCCACCTCTCAGCCGCCCGCAGAGCTGAGGGAGGACATAAAGCAGCTGGACTTTCTCCTTTTCCTTAATCTCATTTTGGCTTCAGTTGTCTTATTTGTCTTTAGGGAGAGGAGGGAGGGCAGCGCTGGGGTGCAGTGCTGTTACTAGTCACTTTATTATTGCCCCCTTTCTGTGTGTGTTGGTGTGCTCCGTGAGTATGCATGCACACGTGAATGTACAGTATGTGTGTGTGTGGGTGTGTGTGTGTGT